AGGAGTCGAACCCGAGCACCCGCGCGAGTTCGTGGCGGCAGCGAAGGAGCTGCGCGAGCGACGACGTCGCGGCCTCGGCCTCGGTCAGGCAGCGCATCGCGAGCTCCTCCTTTCGCACGTTCATCTCCACCACCCGGGCGCGGGCGGCGTCGGGGAGGTGGATCCCATTGCTCTCCATATCCCGCTTCAGCTGGATGACGTTTTTGACGGACTCCGCGTCGAGCCCGGCGCGGCCGGCGGGGCTCTCCAAGCCTCGGATCACCTCATAAAGGTCCTGGCGGGAGTTCACCGTCGACATGTATTCGTAGCCCCGCTGAAACGCCAGGCTCGCGCTCGCTTTGTAGCGCTCGTCGGGGTGCACCTGCCGGACAAACTCGCAGGGGTCCAACAGCAAACACAAGATGTTGCTGGTGGAGTCGATTAAGTCGTGCTTCTCCTGCGGCGTCGTCACCTTCGGGATCTCATTCAGCAGGGCCTCGCAGATCTCGATCGTGGAGTCCACCTTATCCTCCAGGTGCTCGGGGTAGGAAAGGAAGCTCAGGGTGGGGATCTCCGGGAAATCCACCTCGCTCTTGAGCACGCGCCGCGGGCGGGGAGGCGACCCGGCCGCGGCAAATCGCCTCGCATTGGGGGTCCGCCAGGAAAGCCCGGCCCCTCGCGACGCAAAGAAGGGCAAGGTTGCTATACGACGCAGCATGAGCTAATGTTCGGCGGCAGTAAAAAAGAAAGGACGCGAATCCTTCAATGAAAAGTACCATTTATTTTTTGATTCGGGCGAGGGAATAAATTTACCCCCCAAAAATAATAGGAGATGCCATTTTAGTGGAAAAAGAAGAGAGGGACAAAATATAAAAGAGTAAAGTGAAAATGATAAAGAGAATACGATACGAATCAAAGAAGGTAAAAATTGAATCTCAATCGCCATCCAAGGAGGCTATTCGGATTTTTTTTTTAAGAACAAAATAAAACAAGGAAGCTGCGCATTGAAAGCGTCTCTTCCGTCAAGACGAAAGGATATGCAAAGGCATGCGAAGAGGCTCTAGAAACCGCCGCTGACAGTACTTTACAATGGGTATACAGCCTTTCTTCGCTTTTATTCCTCCTGGTCGCGGATGTTGAAGTACTTCAGCTGGTAGCTATCCTTCCCATTAGCGAGGATGCGGAGCCAGTCGCGAAGCTCCTTCTTCTTGAGGAACTTCTTGGTGAGGTACTTGAAGTACTTCTTGCGGTATGCCATGGTGGTGACCACGCTGAGCGTGTTATCGCGCACGGCGATGCGGACCTTCTCACCGAGCTTGCCCTTACGGCCGTTCAGCTTGGTGTTGTCGTGGAAGAACTGCTCAAAACTGCGCAGGATATCCTCGCTGAAGATGCCATCCGTCACCGGCACGCTGCAGTCAATCTTGAAGACCTTCTTCCCCTTCGGCAGCGTCTTTTGGCGAATGAAGCTGCGGGAGCCAACCTTAGCACGTACGGCAACCATTGCGTCCGCAAATCCTTCCTTCTGTTTGGGTATGCCACAATTCAAGCGCGAGGGAGAGAAGAAAAAGAAAAAATGAAGTGAAATAAAACGAATTTGAACAGAGACGCTTCAAACAGAAACTGCAGTAGGAGTGAAGAGGCTCCTCCCTCCATTTCAGTCATAACAATAGTAGATATGTGTGATGTTCCAACAAGTAAGCACCGCGATTCCTAAAGAGATCATAACTATCGATCAAACCCACAAATAAGCCTACTTAGCATAGCAAGAAATCTCCCATTACGGGAGGTGCATCCCATTAGGTACGCTACACCACACGCATACACTCTCCCCCCTCCGCTTTTACTTCCTCTCCATTCCTCTTTTTTTCTTTCGTTTCCCCTCCTCCTACTTCTTTTCTCTTCTTTTTTCGTCCGTTCAGGGAGAATCCCCTCGATCTGCCGCCGTCGGTTCCGTCACCTCCTCGTCTTCGACGGCGCGGCCGATGCGATGCTCGTGTTGCTGCCGCCGCGTGCGACTCTCCTCCTTCCTCGCCGCGGCGGCCTCTTTTCGGTGACGACTCATCGCGATTTGACGCGCGCGGAATTCGGCGAAACGCCGCCGCTTTTCCACCTCCTCAGCGGCGCGCCGCTCGAGCAGCTGCGCGCGATGCCGCGCCTCCTCCTCCTGACGACGCTGCTCCGCGAGGGAAATCGCCCCCCCCTTCCCGTCACCCTCCCCGTCGTCGTCATCGTCATTTTCGTGGTCCACGGAAGAAGAGGAGGAGGCGCTCCGTTTGAGCTCCCGCTGCCGGCGTTTTTCCATTTCGTGTTTTTTGAGATCAAACCGGAGGAGTAGGGAGGGGTAGGCGAGGCCGCCAAGGGTGCTAAAGGAGTGCCCCCGCGGAGGCCCCACCCAGCCCGACGCCGCTATGGGGGAGGGATGCCATGGTTGAATCGCCACCCTTTCCAAAACTCGCCTCATGAACCAAACGAACGTACACCTGGACTGTGAGAAGCACAAGGAGATGCAACTAAATGCATAAAAATACGAATTAGGCTAACCAAACAGAAAAAACGAGGGGGCAAAAGGGGAAAGTGAGTGAAATGGTTCTGAGCGAAACGGAGCCTCCGGCCCTCTCCTATATTGAAAACATGAACGGATGCACTGCGAGGGAAGAAAAAAAGAACCCATATTAGATGATTATAGGTATCCGTTCGCACAACCATGGACGGTGTATTAAAAATCCCCTAATTTACACGAGTATTCCTTTATCTTTATCGATCGAGATGGTCAATTCATTACGGTTATCTCTTCGTCATTATTTTATTTAAGTGAGATCGATCCACAGATCCGGTTTCAGACCGCGTGCGCGCTATTTTTTCGACTTCAAGGTCTGCCGCTCGGCGCGGAGGCGCATCTTTTCCTCCGCGAATTTCGTCCCGAGCGCGGAGGCGCCGGTGCGGAAGGCGCCCTTCCCGCCGTAGGAGCCCATAAACTTCTTCGTCATCGTCTCCAGCTCGCGTTTGAGGAGTTTGATCGCCTTGAGCTTCTGGCGATTCTCGGCATCGGCCTCGTCGTCGTACATATCCTCCACCTCGAGATCCGCGTCCTTGCTCATTCGCCGGACCCACGTGTTGCTCGCGCGGCTCTTCCCGACCTCCTTCTGCAGCTTATCGATCTGCCACGCGATGCGGAGGTGGGGGTGGAGGTGGTAAAGCACCGTGGGCTGCACCGCGAACGTCTCCATCTCGCGCTCGGTCCGCCCGAGGGATTCGAGGAGCTTCCGAAACGACGCGTGCTCCTCCGCGGCGACGAGGAGGAGGGAGAGCCCGACGCCGCCACAGCGCGCCGTTCGCCCGCAGCGGTGGATGTACGCGTCGGTGGATCGCGGCACCTGATAATGCACGACGGCGCGGACCCCGTCGAGATCCAACCCGCGCGCGGCGAGCTCCGTCGCGATCAGGACCCGCGCCGCGCCGGAGAGAAACCGGCCGACGCCTTTTAACCGCTGCCGCTGCTGCATCGCGGCGTGGAGCCCGACGACGGGGATCCCGAGCACCTCCAGCAGCTTCACCACCCGCCGCAGCATCGAGATCGCGTTCACGAAGACCACCGTGCGGCCCTCGTCGAACATTTTGAGGAAATAGTACAAATACAAATCCTTGCTCGCCTCGGGGCAGCGAAGGTAGGTCTCGGTGATCCGCGCCGCGACGGTGGGGTTCGCCGCGAGCGCGAACACCCGCGCCCGGCTCGGGGAGATCGCCAGCGCCTGCAGGACCTTCCCCATCACATCCGCGTTCGACGTCCGGATCAGCTTCCGACTCGACCTCAGGTCCTTCCGCTCGTAGTTCGTCTGCAGCGAAAGCGTCGCGGAGGTGACGAAGGTCCACACGCGGTGCGCCGCCGCCGGCGGTGGCGGCATCGGCAGGCTCCGCGGTTGATCCTTGCCCCGTCCACGACGGCCCTCGTGTGCGGCCGTTGCGAGGGCGTCTGCGTCGTCGTCGTCGTCGTCGTTGTCGCGCTCAGCCGCCGTTCCCGCGGCTTTCGTGAAGGGGATGAAAGTCTGCGTGAGGGGATCCCACCGCCCGGCCTCGACGCGGCTCTTCCCGACCTCCGCGCCCGCCTCGCGCTCCTGCGCGAACCCGGCGGGGAGCACCTCGCCGTGGATGCGTTCTAAAATGCTTTGCAGCTGCTCAAATCGCCCCGACTGGAGGAGTTTATCCGCCTCATCCAACACCACAAAGTGCAGTCGACGGCTGATGCTGTGGCCGAGGTAACATCCCTCATTGCGCTCGATCAGATCCCACAAACGCCCGGGCGTGCAGATCAAAATATCGGGATGGCGATTCAACACCCGTTGCTGCTTTTCCGCGGCCATGCCCCCGACCACGCAGCCCACCCCGATCTCCGGCGCGAACCGCGTGAGTTGCTTAAACGTATCGCGGATTTGAAGCGCGAGCTCGCGGGTGGGGGAGACGATCAGGGAATGCATCAAACGATCCCGCCGCGAGCTCGCCACCCCGGCCGTGGTCAAAGACGGCGTGGGGTTCGTCGTCGATGAGGCATCCGAGGGGATCGCCTGCGCGCGAGGGCGTTTCTTCCCACGGCCGTTCGTCTTTTCCTCCGCATTCCTCGCGAGGCCGGGGTCCTTCGCCGCGGAGCTGCTCAACGGATCGCCATCGCCATCGCCGTCGCCGCCCCCCTTCCCCGCCGCCTCCGCGCCGCGCAGTTGATGCAAAAGATCCTGCAGGATGGGCAGCGCGAAGACGAGCGTCTTGCCACTCCCCGTCTCCGCCGAAACGACGACGTCGCGGGGGGGTTTTTCCCCATTCGATCGCCGCCCCTTCCGTTGTG